CAAAAGTAATAAGATCCAGAAGGAAGTTCAATTAGCCAACATGACACAGAAAAAAAAAAAAAAAAAAAAGCTCAGCCTTGTTAATTATTAAGCAAAAGCATGAGCAGAACATAGTACCATCGTACCCCTTTTAAGTAAGCCGAAATTTTAAATAATGGTGGTGAAGGTAAAATATATAGGGATCACTTGTATATAATTGGTGAATAAATTAGTAAAAAATGATATCCTTGGAAAGAAATTTGATAATACATTTTAAAAGTCACATAAAATATTTCATATATTTTTATGCATTGAGAAAAATATCCAAATTTAAAAGACCATTTATACAAGAGTCACTGAAATATTATTTGTGATAGAAAAATATTAGAAACATCCTAGATGTCTAAAAACATAAAAATTACAATGAAAAATTTGATGGACTCTTACGTGGCTATTAAAATTATAATCATGAAAGCTATGTAATGATATGGAAAATGTGTAAAAATAGAATGAAATTGTACCTATGCTATGGTTGCAATTAAAAATGTAAATACATACTCTGAAAAGAATGGGAAGAGTGCATACAAAATAAAAACAGTTCAGATACTAAAAAATTTCCTCTTAACATTTCTGGAATTCTTAAATTGTGAGAGAGAAATAATTTAAATAATTTAAAGTGTTAATAAGATGCTGAATTCAGACAATGGCAGTCCAAATGAAAGGAAATATTGTACAGTGAAACATGGTACACTTGGTACAAAGAACACAGGAGTGAATTACCAAAAGTTGGAAGAAGGGATTAATCAAAGGCAGGATGCAGACTTATATGCTGAGAGCCTGACAGGATAGTCAGAGAATTGAAGTAAACTAAGAATATTTTTTCATGCCACTTAAAGTAAAAACGTTCAGCTCTCCTCATTTAGTAAGTTGCCAATAGATCTTTCTTAGGCATTTAGAAATATGTGTATTTCTAAAGAAAAATCAATGCTAAGATAGGAATCTTGAACTTTCCTTGAAGTGGCTTATCTTTGAAGCCAAAGGAGTGGGGAAAAAAATTATAAAATTTCAGCATGTAGAACAAGAAAAGAATACAACTTTGGGAAGAGCATGGAACACCACTTCCATTATAGATGACAGTAAATTTAAAAGATCCACAAAAGCATACTAGAAATGAATAGTCAGTATTAAAGATCCATGTTACTGTTCTGTCATGGCAACTGATAAAAAGCTTTCTGTATGAGTGGGTTTTCTTTTCTATGAAAGAATGAGTTTATCCACAAATTATAGAGAAGCAGAGGGAGAAATGAAAAAAGAGACCACAGAAGTTAGCTAATTACAAGATCACCTCAAAGAAAGCATCTTTCACAGATTGGTTAAGAGTAGAAGAGTTTTCATAGATGACAAAGGAAGTAACAGGAAGTGAGTAAATGTAAACTATGCCCTCAAAAAGTTAGTTTAGAAAGGTTGCAGTATACAAAGTCAACGTACAAAAATACGCATACTATTATATACCAACTACAAATAATTGGAAATTTGAAATTATACTGAAAATAAAATTTTCTGAATAAAATTTAAAAAGACTGAAATAAATAGAGAGAAAGGCTATGTTCAGTGATTAGAATACTTAATATTTTAAAATTTCAATTTTCCCCAATTGAGCTATTACCCAATTCAATTCCAATCAAAAGCCCAGTAGACTTTTTGTAGAAATTAACAAGGAGATTCTAATATTTATGCCAAACTGCAAAGAATCTATAACAGTCAAGTAAAGGAAAAGATGGTGTGGTAACCTTGAGATGGCATCAAGGTAAAGAATCTAAGTCATCTACAGTGAACAGGTTATAGAGCAAGCCAGGGAATGTGCAGCTGCTGCAAGGGTTGTATGGAGAGTAGAATAAGATCATCCCCCATGACAAATTTCTTCATGGCTCTTCATTCTTCCTGAAATCAAGAACTTCAGGGAAGAAGCATCATACTTTAACAATAATTCTCAACTCTGGCAATCCACCACCCTTAAAAATCTTCTACAGATAAAGATAACTAGAATATACCCCCATTGATTATTATTTAATAGAATTTCTTCTAAGTTAAGGGATTTATAATAATACATACTTTTTCCACCTTGCATGCCCAGAAGACAACCTAATGCTATCAGACAAGCTGATGATCTTCACCTTAGAAAGACTCACAGTAGGAATCCTAAATAATATTAAGTCTTGTCTCCATATTGCCTTCATAATCCATGGCGATAATTGAGGTCAATAAATATTGACCTGTTTCAGAACTACTGATCTTTTTAGAAAGACATCAGGGAAAAATTTTGTAGAATATGAATTGGTGAAACAGCCTGGGATTTTACATAACACAATATGCAATAAAGCATATGAGACTGCAATATTAGTATATGTAAATTTTACAATTTTGCTACAGATTGTATAACTTTAAGTAAAATGATACTCAATACTCGATTGTATTACTATAAAATGTACAGGTAAGAAGAAATTGGGCTAGATAATTTCTAAGGTTACTTTGAATTTACTTAATTTCTAAACCTCAGGGTATTAGTTTCCTATTGCTGCTATAACAAATTATCACAAATTTAGGGCTTAAAACAATACAAATTTATTATCTTATCATTCTGGAAGTCAGAAGTCCAAAATCAGCCCCAGTGGGCTAAAGAGACAAGGAATCAGCAGGACTGTGCTCCCTGCAGAGGCTCTAAGGGAAAATCTGTTTTCTTGTCTTTCCACCTTCTAGATACCACCTGCATTCCTTGGCTCATGCCTCTCTTTCTCCACCTTCAAAGCTAGCAATGTAGCATCTTCAAATCTTTCTTTTTCTCTCTCAGCTGCTTAGGTTATCACATTATGTTCTCCGAGAGTCCCACTTTACTGCTTCTGTTCTTGCATATTCTCTCTCTTACTGTGACCTTCTTGCCTCTGTCTTATAAGGACCTGTGCAAGTACATCATTGAACTCATGTGGATAATCTAATCTCCCTACCTAATCTAATCTGTCTGATCTATCTAATCTCCCTACCTAATCTAATCTGTCTGATCTATCTAATCTCCCTATCTCATCTAATCTCCCTAACTCAAGATCTTTAATCATTCTTCAAAGTCTCTTGCCATATAAGGTAACACAGTCACAAGTTCTGGTGATTAGGATGTGAAAATTTTGGGAAGGAAGTGGCATTATTCAGTCTACCATAGGCTCACATTACTATATCCTTCAAAATCATTATGTGTCTGAGTTATTGCTGTAAAATAATTTTTCTAATTTTTAAAGAAGCATAGCAAAAATGAACCATATATCCAAATGAGTTGTAACTAGCAAAGAAGCTACCTTGGAAAATGAGAAAATTGGTTAACTGACCTTGCCATCACTCAAATATTAGAAATTATTTATTTGGAAGGAACTCCAGAGTGTACTAAACATTCTTTTGAAGGACATTAATGTTGCTTTAAAAATTATGACTTACTCAAAACTTATTCATAACCACTATTAATGGATAAAAAGAGCTATTTCATATCTTAGAAGCACAAAGTATGAAATCACAATAAATACTTTTGGCATCACCCATCAATTGGCACTGAAGCTAGTTACCAAAGAGGAGTTATAATAATGTTCCGAGTGATGATAGGGTCATGGGAATAAGTGTCTGAAAATTCACCATGACAAGTTTTAGAAAACAAGACACATTCTGTTAACTAAATTCTGTTATATTTGCGTTTCAAAGTTATTTGATAGGCTTATAAGTATATTTTGTAAGCACACACTGAAAAGTATCTCTCCCCAAACTAAAAAGAAAATTTATAAGATTTTACCTCCCTATATCTAATTTTTTAATACATTTGTTTTCTCACAAGTGCAATGCTTAGGGAAATAAGATCATAGATTACTGATCTTACAAACAATTCCAGATTTCCTTTTTAATAATATAAGCAAAATTTATTAGAAGGGCAAGTATGTATCTTGTATCTTATTTGTAATGTTATTGAGAATAGTTCAGTTTCTGACTTTTTTCTTTAACGTATGTAGAGGAATACTTTTAAAATCTATACAGCAAATTGAAACACTCTCTAAATTACTACATCATAATCATAGCAATAACAAAGTATTCTTCTTAGTTGCATTTTGAAAATCCAAAGTTATAATGTCTATTAACAGATGTTCTTAATTTTTACTCAAATATCAATAACCATATGGCAATCCAGAGTTGAAAAAAGTTTTATGAAGGTAAATAAATTTTTTTAGAACATTTCATAAATACAGTAAATAAATGCTATCAATAGAGCTAATGAATTTTATTAAATACCATTTAAAATAAAACACAAAATAATATTTACCACAAAACACAAATTAATAAATAAAGCAGTGTTATACAGGTAAAATGGAAAATAAATAAAATGATCCTAAATTTAACTAAGAGGGAAGACATTCAAAAGGAAGTCACCTTCACATAGCTTCTTAAATATCAGTCAAAATTACCACTCAAGGAAGAACAGACTTCTGAATATTCATGTTTGATGGAAAGGAGCTTTAAAACTTGAGAGAAAACCAATTTCTCCATAGAATTTTTTTTTCACTTTGAGCAACCAGTGAAGAAAAGGTATATTAATGCCTAGCATAAATTTTCATTTAAAATGTCTTCTGTCAGGTCCTTAGCTGTTCAAAGAGTTGATTGACATAAGGAGAGATATGAAAAATGAAACAAACTTTTCTCATGTTTTGACTAAAAGAGTTCAGAAACCTAAAACCTATAAATCTTATTTTCATCATATATCTCCTTAATTCTGAGAAGTTGTAATTTAAGATCACATTAAAATAGCAGCATTTAGAGCAAGGCTCATGCCTTTTATATTGTATAGGGGACAGAGTTTATTCTGGATTCTCAGAAAATAAATGATGACAAAACATCTCCTCTTACCAAATTGCAAATAATTTCAGAGGACTCAGCCAAATTGAAAACTCCCTGAGAGCACAAATTTTTGCCTTCTATTTCTTTTCTATTCCTTACAGCATCTCTAGAATTCTGCTGATAGAACAAGTGCTTACTAGGTGAGAAGAAAGGAAGACAGGAAGGAGTGAAGGAAAGGAAGAAAATACAAGAAGGGGAGATGAGGAAAGGAAAGAAGAGAGAAGGAAAAGGAGGAGATATCTGAACGAGTCAACTAGGTCTTTTTTATTCCCCACATGGAATTTACTGAAAATTTTACATCTGACATTCAACTGACATTCATCTGAAACTGGCATTCCTGGATTATTTTAATGACTCACTTAGAAATATCAAATATAGATATTTCTGTCAATGACAGTGACTTGTCTTTTTAAGGACATTTTCATATAATTATTCATAGGTACTTCTCTCTGACTTTTCCTAAGAAATAGAACATGTCCATTAGAGTATATACCAAGAGTGCATTCTCTTTTTCCCTTTAAAATCTCAACATTTACACTGATAGATATTTTTTTTTGCTTTTTTTTTTTGCTTATCATTTGATAAGCTCTTAAAATAATGTCATCCTAATGATGATGCCTCTTTGTATTTGTATAGTACTTTGTGACTTATAAAGCCTCCACCTATGTTTTCTCCCTTGAACCCTCATAACAACCTGTGGAGCAGGTAAGGTATTTGGTATGAACTCTCTTTCACAGATGAAAAGGTGAACTGTAGCTCAGAGGGAACTAACCAATGTCACACTGCTTGATTATTGATTTTTCCGATCCCAAAACTCTTTATTTTTCCCAAATGACAGCTATATGCTGTACTACATTGGACAACTTTTTATGGAGCCCAGTCTTTTCTTTTCACTGGAGTTTCTTATCCATTCTTATTTCTTTTAGCTTTTCTTTGTTTATTTTGTTATTTAATGTAATGGCACAGGCAGAGTGGTTAAATTTGGTCCTCATGGTAACAATTTTATTGGTTGACTTGGAAACCTAGAAAATAGATATGGAAACTAAGTATCATCCACAGCTTGCATGACTTCCAGTATTTTAACGTTTCTCAACCTGGCTAATATTTAGGATTTTCCAATCAGTCTTTATTAAAAAAAAAAAAAAAAAAAAAAAAAAAGTCCAGGAAGTAGCACTTAAGAGTGAATGGCATCTGGGAAACTAGGAAATAAAGACTCCAGGCAAGAAACTGCTGACATTGCACACACACTTTGAGAATAGAATGTGGCTATGTCAAAAAGCATGCGTAACGAGACAGGATTTGCCAGCCCAACAAGCAAGTCAGAGATAAATTACACAACAAACTATTTCTACTTTTTAAAAATATTCTTGGAATTTACTTTCCCTTAATATTTATCAAACTATTTACGAAATTTAAAATCTAAAACAATTTAGTTCTCTAAGAAAAATGAAACAGGCTAGCAAAGTAATTTTAATATTTTTGAGGTTTCTTCCCAAGTATTCTAGCACAAGTAATTACATTAGGAAGACAGGAAATGTCTGGATAGACTGTTAACAGTATAGTATGAAACTATCAAAATTAAGGAATCATTTTAACATTTGCAAGCATGAGGCAAAGGTCAACTTTTCATTCTACCACACACTTAGAAATTAGGGAGAATACTTCAAAAGTCACATCAATCACATTGCAACTCAGTTACCCTGAACTCCCTATTCAGTGTTCTATCTGTGTGTGTTTGTTCCATTTCTAACATCAGATTGGTTCAGGATTACATATGGATACAGGAGCACATGACAGTGAATTCACTGATCTCTCTTAACATCCCACTGCTGTTCAGCTTAATCACCTTTTATTAGCTGAATGACTTCTGTCCAGAGCATTATTCCATAAGCTAAATATTAGCAGGTATTTGAAAAAGTTTACTTATGCCCTAGATATCTTTTTAAATAAAATGTGAATTTTTAATTGAAATAAGAGGTTTCAACTAAACAATGTAAAGCAAATCCATTTGGAGGTTGTTACAATTACAAACAAAAAGGGTCATGGATATTTTTGAGCTGGTTCATCGCAGGTTAACTCATTAGCTACAATGAGTGGGAAATACCTATAAAGAGAGGTTAAAGTAGTTAGCATTTGGCACCGGTTGACGGTTGGTTTAATTACTGTCTTAGGAAAAGGGTGGTAACCAGCAGGTCTTCATGTACTCTGAGTAAAATATGCACACACACAAATGTCACTTAAACTACAGCACTTAAAATTTTGAATGTCATAAATAAGTTTTGACATTGGATTCTTTAACACTTCAATAGGTCACTAAGGAGAAGTTTGGGATGGCTTTTTCTGGTTGCCATTAAAAATAAATTTTTATGTTTCTAAAAGACTTTAGTGTGACTCTACTAAAAGTAAAGCACTAGATATTCTTACAAATTAACTTTTAACTCTCTGATCTTATATGTAAAACCTATCTACATCTGAAATGTCCAATAGGGTGGCCACTGACCACATGTGACAATTTAAGTTTGAATTAATTAAAATTAAAAATTCAATTCCTCAATCATACCAGAAACCATGTTAAATAACCATATGTAGCTACTGGTCATGGTATTGGGCAACCCAGATATAGACCATCCCCATCATTGATGAAAGTTCTATTGGATAATAGTGACCTAAACATACATATTGCAAATGCCTCATATATACATTGTTAAGATATTTGTATCCTATGTTTCAAACATCTGGATGGGAAAACTATTTTTAAAAGCAAATATAATCTTTCCATAGCTATATAAAGGTATATTTTAATCATCAAGAGAATATATTTCCAACATTTAAATTAGTAACAACAAATAATCTTGTCCTAAAGCACTAGCTAGTTGGCTTTTAAAAAGTCAAACATTCCTGTATTGCATTTTTACACTTACCAGCTTCACTTTAACTTTAAAGCATTGCACTCTACAGAGTGGTACTATATTAAACAATGTTTAAGGTTAAGAAACATCTGATATACAGGTAATTTTGAGCAGTCCTCTTTTGCCAGGCCACAAAACATACCAAAACAAATGTTTGCTTATACTTATCCCTATATGATTATAGCATTTTAATTAGTCTTTATTAATAGTAACAATTCCTTTATCAATTACCTTTTACTCATGGAATTCCATGATTCTGAGTTGTAATAAATCTTATAGTTTATATAAAATGGTTCATAGTGATACATAATTTGTCTGAGGTCTTTTCCAGTAAAATGAAATAGGTCATATACTTTCCAAATTAATATTTGGACTAATGGACTAATGTTCATGAAACCCTCACAATTTTCCCACAGAGTTTGTCTCCATTTTATATGTGAGAAAACTGAGGCTTAGAGAAAATACATAACTTGCCCATGAACACACTATTAGCAAGTGGTTACTAGTCAAGATTTAAGTCCAGTTACTTTGACTTCAAAACTGACATTGCTACACACTGTGCAACATTGCTTCTATTTTTTGTTTCATGAGTAAGGTGTGACCTAAGCAGCAGTAACTGACATATGTAAGCTATTCTTAAAAATTTAGTAAAGAAAATTTGCCTATTTTCCTTGATAACTCATTTCAGCATCTAATAAAATCATATTTGATGGATTGATTTCTGAAACATTAGTTCATTTACAAAATTGAAGAGGAGGAAAAAAGAATATGTGTGTGATTTTTGGAGGTTTTGCTACAGCTAATGAGAGCATATCATGAATGAGGTAAAAAGAGTAGCTACAGATTTCTTTTTATAAAAAAAAAATTCTTTTTATATGTGCCTCACAGGCCGGGCGTAGGGGCTCATGCCTGTAATCCGAGCACTCTGGAGAAATCTTCTTTATTGAAAATGATCCCAGGCCAGGTGTGGTGGTTCAGGCCTGTAGTCCTAGCACTCTGGGAGACCAAGGCAGGAGGATTGTTTGAGCTCAGGAGTTCGAGACCAGCCTAAGCAACAGTGAGACCCCCATCTCTACCAAAAATAGAAAAAATTAGCTGGGCCTGGTGGCACATGCCTGTAGTACCAGCTATTTGGGAGTCTGAGGCAGAAGGATTGCTTGAGCCCAGGAGTTTGAGGTCCCTGTGAGCTAGGCTAACACCACGGCAATCTAGCTGGGGCAACAAGAATGAGACTCTATCTCACAAAAAAAAAATTATGCACCTCACACTGTCAGGTATTGAGCATCGAATAGATGTTATTGTTTTATCTACAGTTATAATTTTACACATTAAAATTCAAAGGTAATTAGTAAAACATTCATATTTCATATCTATCATGTTTAAGGCTTCTAGCTTCATAATACCATATCCTATGTTAAAGAAGATGAAAATTCTTAGACATATAAAACCAACAAAGGTGATCTGATACATTTTTTATGTGTTCAATTAGCTCCCTATCAGATCACACTAATTCCCGGGCACTGAGTTACTAAGATATTAGCTTTTCAGCTGTATATTAGAACAACAAGGCTTTGGTATTACAGAATGGCATTTTCTATTTAATTTTCAGCACACTGTGATATTTTAAGTGATTTGGAATGGCTGGCTTTTGAAATTCCTTTGAACTAAGGCACCTTCCTTTCTACTGGATTATTTTACAGTATTTCCATCTATGCATAAAGCAACAAAGATAAACCTATTTTTCCCAGGAGGCTTCTAAAAACCCAGAATACTTTTAAGAAGTATTTTTAATAAAAATAAATGGAAAGAAACTTAGACTGATTTTAATTTTAGAGATCATTTCTTCTGAAAATATAATCTTCAAGTCCTCTTGACCTTTGAGCTATTTTGAAATCAAGTTCTATTTGTATAGGGTTTTCCCTCAGGAGTTCAAAGCATTTTATGTGAGGGTGTTTTCCAGTGTTCAAATGCATTAAGCCTTGGATCTTAACCAGATTTCCACATGTGCAAATCTTCCATCACTGTAGCTTGTAACACAGCTATGCAACACAATTTTTTTTTTTTTGAGACAGAGTCTCACTTTATTGCCCAGGCTAGAGTGAGTGCCATGGGGTCAGCCTAGCTCACAGCTACCTCAAACTCCTGGGCTCAAGCAATCCTCCTGCCTCAGCCTCCCAGTAGCTGGGACTACAGGCATGTGCCACCATTACTGGCTAATTTTTTTTTTTTTGTATATATTTTTAGTTGGTCAATTAATTCCTTTCTGTTTTTGGTAGAGATGGGGTCTCACTCAGGCTGGTTTCAAACTCCTGACCTCGAGCAATCCACCCACCTTGGCCTCCCAGAGTGCTAGGATTACAGGCTTGAGCCACTGCGCCCAGCCTGCAACACAAATTTTAATGATGGTTCTTTCCTATCAATAAGGATTTTGAAGGGTTGTCCAAATCAGATTATCATCTGTTTATCAATCCTCAGTAAAAAAATGTA